TTCGCTTATCAGTTCTTAAGGTTCCTCAACTTTAAGTGCAACTTAAAGGTACATAGGTTGGAATCTTACAATACAAATATTTTAAATCTTTCAGAAACCGGTTTTAAAAGGCTAAGAGAAAACTAAGGGAGAAAATATGGTATTACCAATTTTTATTCATAGTATAATGATATATAATGTAAATATAATTATTTTACTGTAACTATAAGCCTAATTAATATGGATTGAAAATTTGTAATACAGTTTTTCATTACAAAACATAAACTGCACTATATTACTTTAATGAAAAAAAATTATGATTGAGTCTCCTTATCATTAGGACGACTAGTAAAGCTAGTAGAATCAAAGAAAAGTATGAACAAAACTTCATTTGAGGAATGATTCAAGCAAAATGTGCTTTCGGTAATAGCACTGAAATCCCTATTTTACAAAATAGGCTCTGCTTCAGTTGATTTCTAACGAATGTTTTGCAGATTTCTTTTCTTAATTCAGGAAATCAAAGGAGGCATTGAATATATTTATAAATGATTCAATTAATTTCTAACGCCAAATTTATTGATTCATTTCATTTATTCTACGTAGCATAATGTTAAGCTGTCATTTCGTACCATTTGCTAGCTTTTATTTATGAGGAACCTCTGTGCTGAAGGAAGTCTTCTTGGCAAAATTCTTCTTTAGTATAGAACATAATGAAGTGTCAAAATAATATTCGTTTTAATACATAACCCAACATATTTTGTTGTGAAGATTTGAATTTTCTGTTCAAAATTTTATATGGAATTCCAGATACAAAATTTCTATAATACTAAATCATGATATTTGTAATGCAGACATGAGTTAAGAAGCACATGTAGGTTATGTAGGAAGACTGCATATAGAAATTGTATGATGATAGGTTTGGTAGGAATGATAGATTTTCCGCTTCCTTAAAGAGAATAAAATGAGATGAAAAAAGCAGAAATCTAATAAATATTAATAAGTTAAGCAATACTTTTTAATGTTGCTTTTGAAGTAAAATAATACTTTTTAATGAAGTAGATAGAGCTATTTTCTTCTAAAATAATATTTTAATGCTTTTAAATGGCAAAAAGTGTTTTAATGACCATATAGATACTATAACAGCGATTATTTACTATCTAAAAATGCTGGTATTTTAGTTACATTTTACAAATATATCAGCGTAAAATAAATTAAGAAATGAAATCATATAACTGATCGTGACTAAGTTTTTATAAATGTACGTTTACGTAACTGATGAGGGAAATAAAAAGCCACTAAAAATGTGAAAACTGGCTAAACATCTTGGAATGCAAATACTGCAGTTTAATTTGTTTTTAATATTAAACTGTCTTCAGTGCTCAGTCATTAAAATGTTTTCCGATTGTCTAAGTCCATTTAAAGTTCCTAGTTGTCACTGATCATCAAAATTAAAGCATAATGAGAAAAAATATGCTCCTTAAGTTAATGTTGCAACCACTGCCCAATGTTGTAATTATTTATATTAATTAAATATAAAACACAAAATTGTACTTTCGTGCATACATTAGCTCTAGAAATATTCTAATTCGGTGATTGACAATGTGCTCAATTGAACGCATTTGGAAATCCGGTCTATAGTGTTTAAAGTGAATGTGGTTTCTGAAAGTGATCAGTATTCAGTAGTTATCGCTCAAAGGTAATGAAGGTCAAAAGTTGCGAATAATTAGTAGAATTGAACGAGATCAGACACAAATGGAGGTCTCCAAAATGTGAATATCCCTCAGTGTCATATGAAGAGTTTGGAGCCACTTTTTAAGCACTGGATTAGTTGATAGACAGCCTGGCCAAGAGCAACAACTGCATCAGGATACCGTTTCCTGCCGTTGTCGACTCAAAGAAACCGCGAAGCTACTATAAGATATTTGATCTTAACACTAGAACAGCCGAATTTCAGACTAACCGAAAACCGCCATTGGGGGTCAATTTGACCGTCATAAGAAATGTAAGTAGAAACACAGTAAATGATTGAAATGATGCTGAAATGACCACATATAAAAGAGTTTTTTAGAGGTTTTTATTTATTTTTTATACTTTAGAATTTTTTTTTTCGTGCAATTAGCGCAAATTAGCACACAATATCTTTCAATGAAAGATTAACAAAAACAAAAACAAAATCTTTAAAAAACAAACAAAAGATACAAATGCAAAAAGAGGAAAATAGAACATATGCAAAAAATTACAAAAAACATAAATTGGGAATAAACACGCAATGTTTTCCAAAGTTTGTTATACATTACCGCTGGTGATACAATATGAACGCTTGATAGTGACAGCAACACATTTACCACAAATTGGTTTCTGGCATCCCTCACAGCTGACAGTCTTGTTTTGTCCCTTGCAACTTTAAAATGCACATTTCTTTCCTTTAAGTGTCTGTTATTTGAGCAATTGGGGGCATCTGTTGCGTAGTGCACCAACTCGTAGTTCTTCCATGAGTGCAAGAATAAATTCTCGACGGGAAATAGAGGTGCCCAAGGATTCTTTGAATATAATCCAAGCATTGAGTTCAGCAATGTCAAGGACGTTGTAAAAAACATGTACAGGCCACCTGCGACTTCCACTTGTACTCTATTTCCTCAGCATCTGATCTGCGACATCAATGCCACATTTTGTACTGTTGTAGTAAGTCACAGTGTTCGGTTTTTTCTTTATGCTTTCGTCAACAAACACATTACTGTGCATCGTGCTCAGAATCACGACATTCTTTCTGCTCTTGCACCTATATATTGTGAGTGTTTTGTCTCCATTTTTCAGTGCCAAAGATGAATATCGTGCCAAAGAAGTGTCACGAGCAATGGGGGTAATTCTCGCTTATTCAGAAGCATCGTGCCCACAATTGTGGTTTATTTCGCAGAAAGTTCATCTGCAAGTTTAACAGAAGTAAAAAAAATTGTCAGTTGTGACATTGAGTCCAGAGTTTAGATGTGGTTGCAGTAATTTGAGAACTACACTTTCCCCAAGTTGTAAATTAGTTGGTCGTTCTTCATCCTTGCCCAGATAAGGATAACCATTCAAAACATATTTGGATTTTACATCAGTTGCTAGCCAGAATTTGATGCCAAACTTGTCCGGTTTATTCGCCATATACTGAATAAATCTACATCTTGATTTACAAGGCAACAATTGTTCATCAACGGTTATTTCTGGTCCAGGATTATAGCATAAATAACAGTTTTCCATTAGCTTGTACCAGGTTACAGAAGCGAGAGCAAATTTGTTAGTGGCGAGACGATCAGCTCTGGTGCTTCGGACATCGAATCTGAGATACAGGCATTATTTCACGGAACTGATTACGTGACATTGTTTCTTTGAACACAGGTGGTTCTCAATTCTTGTTCCCCAAATCATCTGCACAAAAGTTTTGAATGGCCTAGTGCTCCTAGTGTCGTTTTTATTATGAGGGTCAAAATGACCCCAGTTGGCTGTTTTAGGTATATCTGCGATTACTTGTTTAAATAATTAACGTAGAAATATGAAAAATTGGCATAGTATACTTGGAAACATTTTAGAAAAAGTAAAAAAATATCAGCTTCGAAGCTCAGCTGTATGTTAAAAAAAAAAACGCGTAAAATTGGAAAAAAAGGTCAAAATGACCCCAACGGCGCTTCTAGTGTTAAACCTTCAGGCTGCCACAGGAACATGAATTAGCCCTTCTAGTGCTGCACGAAAGCTTAGCAAGGTTAGACAGTGTGCGAGAAATTCAACGGTTTTAATCCCACTCACTCCAACTTACAGAAGAGTCCGTTTAAACTGGTGCGTTATCATGTTCAGTGGAGCCATGACGATTGGGCCCGAGTATTGTTTATTGACAAAGCCAGATATAGTTTGATCATTCTAGAATCTAGTGTTTTGATCTAGAGAGCGGAATGAACATGCAGCTTGCCTTTTCTTGCACTTGAAATATCCTGTTTCCACGATCGCTGTTTAATGGTTTGGGGAGGAATCATGACAAATGGCCGCACCAAGCTGCATATATTTCAAGGAAGTTCCATAACCGCTCAAAGATATGTGGACGAGGTATTGGAACCCCAATTTAGAATGTTTAGGGGTTCTGTTGGCCTGCATTTTTTGCTAATGAATAGCAATGTTCGATTTCATCGAGCATATGTGGTATGAGAATAGTTGCAAACAGGAGATATCACTCGAATAATTGGCCACCTTACCCACCCGACTTGAATCCGATTGATCATGTGTGGGATGCCTTACGATGTCGAATTAAAGCTTGCCAAATTCCTCCCTGAACCCTTCAGGAGCTGAAAAGTGCACTTTTAGAAGAGTGGCATACAATTCCACAAGACCTGAACAACAGTTTGGTAAAGTCTAAGAAATCAAGATATGAGGTATGCATATCCGTTTGAGGTGATCTTAACCGATGTTAATTTTTTTCTCTCAAGAGGTGACTTAATTTTCCAATTTCTATAATTTAATTTTAGTTTCAATATTTTGCGAATAATCAGCCGCCAACATTGTAATTTATGTTGCCTAATGTTTTTGTACAAATTTCTATTAATATTTTTTATTAATTATCAGTTACGTTTTATTTCTTGCATTATCTTTTAATTTTGATACTTAGTGTGTTCGCGACTGGTTCATAATTACCTGTTTCTCAAGTTGACTCCCACAAAAATTACAAAGAACAGTAAAATTGAAGTGTGAAATAAAAATGTCTGACATTCTGTACTTCTAAATTGTTTTCAATTAAACATTCCTTTTCATCTACTAACAATGGCATTTCTTTGAATAATCTGTCAAATTTGTGCAGATAACTTTGAGTAATCTGTCAAATTTATTCAGATAACTCAGATACGCTTACAAGCATTTCAAGATTAAAAGTAGCATTCCATTTAATATCCGTACTTTCCGTTATATTTCAAATTTTATTTAATATATACGCAAAAGTAATGGATTTTTTCCAGTTCCATTTGCGTGTATCAAATATTATATAATAAAAATCTACAAAATAGGGTTCAAAAATAACTTTATAATATCTTGGAATGCTTCATGTGATCAAATATCATTTAACTGCTATCTTCTGTGTACCTGCAGCTTTCCATGTAGCAAAATTTAAAGTACTATTCTTCCATTCTTGTTTAAAATGATAATTGCATGCATCAGCAGAAAACGTCGTCAATTTTTTCTCAGTTTGAGGTAAATCTTCCTTCTTACACAGAAGTGTCGATATATGTTTCTTTGGCCTGTTGAGTAAAAAAAGACATTTATGTTACAGTTCTAGTAAAGAAATTAAATTATTTATTAACAGTATTTCAATATGCATATTTTACTCAATTTTATCATTAGTTAAACCTGTGAAATTGAGCCATTGTTTTTTATTCATACGCTATTTGGCGTATTCACTCACTTCTGCATTAAATTCCATGTTTATATATATTAAATTAATATGTAATGTCTAAGGAAATCATACTAAAAAATATACAGTGGTGCCTCGGTATACGTCCGCTTTGAAATAAGTGCAACTTGGAACCAACATACGTTCTAGTATTTAGAATAGGAAACTTCCATTCGGTGTACGGCATTTGTTTGAAATACAACTCGAGTTCAATACATCACAGTTAGGAGCACTGAATTTGTTTACCTCTTTCAAGGGAAAGCAATCTGTTGCTGCTTCAGTAAACGACCAAGCCAACAAACAACGAAAACTGATTTATCACATGAATTTTTAGCTTATTTATTTATTTTTTTAAATACTTCAACAGGGAATTTTAAGAACGTTAATGAGGAGAGTAGTGAAGAAACTCAAAAAATGGCTGGAATCATCATGGTAGTAGAAAATAAATTAATTAATTAAAATAATAAAGATTTTTGAAGCGTATGAAAATAACATGCGTATCCGGGAGCTCGACTCATGCATACTATATGCCGAGAACGGCGATATCTGCAGTTGTGAAAAACGAGGACGCTATTACATCGGTAAATGTTGCGAAAGGGAGAAATCGATTACTAAACAAAGATCAGATACCCTCTAGTATGTCGAAACATTTTTAAATTATTTTCGAGCTGAATAACAGACAGACATTTATCTACAGTATTTTCTAAACGTACAGTATTTCGTTTATGTGCCGTATATATTCTAACCATTGCATTTATGTTTTCTATGAAACATTTTTATAATAGTAACAGTAGAATTTTTATAAGAACGAATTAATTATTTTCCCTTTATTTCTTATTGGAAAATTTTTTATCACGCATACCGAAGTACAAATATATTTAAATAATTTTTTAATTCCATTGTTTTGGTTATTTTCGTCTTTGTAACATTTTTTACATAGATAATCAGATATATTAGACTAATTTCCCTAATTAGAAAGCATCAAAATAAGATAAATTCTTTCTTAAACCAGTGTTGAATTAAGCCGAAGATATATATTATATTGATGTCACGAAAGACAAAGTTTCAAATAATTAAATGCAAAATTATAATTGCTCATTTTATTCAATTTCAAATATCTTCAGAATTCAATTTTTGCATCACAGTTTTCGAATAAAATAAATCTGAAAGCGAAACCACCTACATATTTTGTAAACAAATTTTATTCTTTATTCCAAAAGTAAATACCATTCTTTTAAAATAATTTCTTTGTTCAAGTAAAACTATTAGCCATAAAGATGAAAAAATAGATTTCCTTATTATATTTTCGAAACAAATAACCTACCTGTCTGAATTATGACAACCTGTTTCTAATCAATAGGATACGTATCTCAATCTTAATATTTTAGGCTGTTATATTAATTTTCATTGAAATCTATATATGCCAGTATAAAAAATATAAGATCACACGTTTTCTTAGATAAAAAATGCACTACTTATGTTACTAATGCACCACTTACTAATGCGTAATTAACCATATTTTTTCTTAGATAAAAATATGGTTAATTGCACATTAAAGTAGCACAATTGATACGTAGCTGCAATTTAGCACGACACATAATCATTCACTTGCTCTTGGGAGGTAGAGGGAGGTAGTAAATAATGTAATAAGTCTAAAATAGTAAGTATGCATATGCTTACTAAAATTTAGATAAGGAAAAAAGTACATAAAGCAAATAAATCATGATGCAACACAATGAAATTAAAAATATTAGGCGACCTGTCAAAATTTCGCTTCAAGACTAGGAACCACTATAACTGAAGGAAAGGCTCCCTTTTGAACAAAGTAGAAGAACTGCATTATTTGCAATTCGATTTCTTCTGCTTTAGGAAGGCCTCATTGTTTGTTACAGAAACTTTCCAATGACACTATTGCTTCAGCCGTGTTACTTTAAGAAACAAAGACTCGCTCTTTAGACAGAAACAGGCTCTTATGATGGTGTTCCATTGCAGGAATGAAAATATTTTTCTTTTTTTGTTGTTCGGTCCTGTGCGACATACAAAAGAGGTATGAAGCGACATGCATCTGGTATTTAACAGTACAAGGCTATTTCCTGCTTTGCTAGTTTCGACAATTTAATAATATTTTATTCATACTTACAAAGGATACAAATAGTTAATCTCTATAGCTCTTATAACAGCTCCGAAGTCAGCACCTGGACTCTGCTTATTGACTGCCTGATTGACAGAGCGATAAAATGCAGCAAAGCCGCTTTTTGGTTTTCCAAGGGGTACTTTAGATGTGATAAGAATGCTCTGGAATTGCCTCGTTTTGATTAGATTGACACTGAAAATTTGAACAAATGCATTATATATACTTTTCAACACAACGAAAGAACGACACAAAAAGTGCAATTTCATATGAACTATTATAAATGCAGTGCAACTTAAACTGGATTGACATTAACCGATACACAAGTTTTTTCATGTTTACATGATAAATCTCAATATATATACATAGAATAAAAAATAATTCGCAAGGCAATGAAAATTAAGAACGGTAATTTATGTAACATGTAAAATTTTGCAATCAATTCGAGCTATTAATTTTCCTTCTCTTTCGATTTTAAATTCATTCACTTCCTTCATTTTTTACATAAAAACGAATACATTCATGCTCTGAAAGCTCAAGTGAATTTTGGTACTGGAGAACGAAAAATGTAAATAAGATTAAAAAAATAAAAGATTTGAATACAATGAAGTTTGAAGAGGAAATGTAATTAATTCTCTGTTTAGATTTCGGTTTTTCTTAAAAGAAAATACTCTTTTTCTTTTTAGTGGAAATTGATAACATGGTGATTTGCAACACAAATGAATTCAATTTATTACTGCTGTTGTTGTCATCAATATTATCTCTCTACCGAATGCAAGACATGCTTTTCTATCCTCTTGTTGCTGTTATTATTATTATTATTATCATTATTATTATTATTATTATTATCACGACTAATAACTCTCACATGTTTAATTTATCATAACAGTTCGCCGCTGTGAGAGATTAGGTTAAAGTTATGAAAAAAAAAATTCGAAAAAACGTAAGATGTGAAATTGATAGATAATTTACTGTAATCACTTAGAAACAGCAAATTTAATTCATCAGAAAACCATTAAAAATATTGTAAAGATGTTATTTGGCCTTATTTTATTTATGATTAATAAGTAGAAATTAAAATTAGTCGTAGAAGTACTACTGAAGATACTTTTTCTATCAAAGTGGAAATTTAAAATCCAAACAAAATGGTTTCAAGTAAACATTAACCGGAAATTTAAAAAGAAAGTAAAAAAAGAAAAAATAATTAAAATTAACAGAAATTTTACTTTTAACCATAGATATTCGATTTTAATTTGTAATTAATTTTCTCCTTTCTTACCATGTATCTTCATCCAGCTGGCAATCGGAAGGCTTGTAATTTAAATCCCAGTGAGACCACTGCTGTTTTACTATTATCAGGTTGATTCTTTTCAAATCTACAGAGGTTTTCCTAAATAAAATGTTGTGGACGATAATATACTCCCACCTGAATTTGGAAATTATGTCTCCTGCTTTCTACTCGCTCTAGGAAGAAGAATTTGAGTATTTTTTTTCTTCCTTACTATAGGAGTTTTTGGTGTAACTGGACACACATCCGACTTACAATCAGAAAGCTTCAGGTTGGAAATCCGGTGAGACCTTTGATGATTCTCTATGTTTCCCTGCTTCAAAAATTTCCAGTTGACTTTACAGTTGGCTGCTGACCTAAAATATGGATGACAATATGAAGACGATAATTCGTCACCCCCTGGATTATGCGACTGGGTCCAGCAGTCACTTTAACATGGGAGTATATAAGATATCTTCACCCTCCTTTCCGCGTACCTTACTGATATATACTCCCTGACACTAAAAATACAACACCAAGGAGGAATGGCCAGAAAGTGATGAAACACGGCAAACAGAGAGCGACTCTTGTTCTGCCTGATTGTTCTAATTGTTCTGCCTGGTTTACGTTTGGAAAAAAGACGCCCGATTTTTTCCTTCCTCTCGAAAAAAATTGCAAGTTGTTAGTTCTCAACCAATCCGCTATCACTTTCGAATGGTATCAGTTTGTTTGTAATGGAGAACCAGTATACTCTTCGCATGTTAACCCCAAAGTGATCTGTGTGATTGGATGTTGTGACAAAGCAGAAAAATTGCTCCAAACAGTTGTTCTTGCGAAACAAACGGATGTGTAGCAGCCTAAGAGATCTTTATTCCGAATGATATGCATAATACAGAGCGAGAACAGCGTCGGCTCAATAGATTGTAGGACCACATTCGACGGCGATACACGAAGCAATTCGTCTAGATACAGTGTCAGTGAGGCTATGGATGGTGTCCTGAGGAATGGCTCTCCATTTCCTGTAAACCATTTGCCACAGTTCTTCTTCTGAACGCGGTAATGGCAGGGTCTGCAAATGGCGTCCAATCACATCCCAAATTTGTTCGATTGGCGAGAGATGAGAGAACGGTGGCTAGGAAAGCATCTGTACATCTTCCAGAACACATAGGCTGATGACAGCAGTATGTGGTCGGGCGTTATCTTATTGATAAGGAGCATTGAGGACTGCTTGATGTAGGAAAGTGTCATCGGCCGCATACACGGGAGAGTGCCTCATCTGAGAACACAACCCTGTGCCATTGCGTCGTCCACATAGCAATAATCTGGCACTATTGCAGACTTTGGCGTCTATGATATTGGGTCAATGGCAATCTTCTTAACAGACGTCCCGACTGCAAATCACTAGCCATCAATCGACGGCAAATGGTTCTGATCCATAGGGGAACATCCAGGGTATCTTAAACATGCTGCAAAATTGAGGTAGAAGTGGTTTGCTGGTAAGCCACCGCTTTGTCGGCGGATGTGTCGATCCATGCCTGCTGACGCCACTCTGGCTGCTGCCATATTCCGTTCTTCCAGCCATCGTCGCCACAGCCGGTGTACTGTGGACGCGTCCAGGTGTGTGTCAGCTGAGATTTGCCGTATGGACTGACCTGCCCTTCTCAGTCCGATCACCATGTTGCTAGTAAAAATGTCTGTCTGCTGGAACTGCCTCCGTTGAGGACGGCCTAGCATCCGCGTTATTACACTCGTCCTCTGAGACAAAAAATACATTTTCTACAAAGATATCCCTAGCAGAAATAGCGGCAAGAAAACTGAACATTCTGCAAGTTCTTTCCCTTATATCTTCTTAAACATGCGCTAGAAAGCTGCGCATTTCACATTGTTCCCATCTTCATCATTTTAAGCTGACGTACGTCTACCTTAAAATTTGCATAATTGGTACAATCGGGTTTTAATTGGTTATAAATAAGTTTTAATTTATAATAAGTTTTTATTTCATCTTCATCATTTTAAGCTGACGTACGTCTACCTTAAAATTAACATAATTGGTACAATCGGCTTAAAATTTGCATAATTGGTACAATTTGTTTTTTGGCGAATCTTTTTTGATGCCAAGATCGGCTACAGGAAGGCACAATTTCAAGATGGCCACTACACAAAAAAAAAAAAAAAAAAAAAAAATAAGAGATCAAAGAATTGTACAAAATCTCTATCCATGTACACATCGATCTGTTTTCACTTAAAAAAATCCTAGAATTGCACAAACCAGGCATTGCCACTGCCTTAAATTTTTCCATGTACACATCAATCTATTATCATTTAAATAAAATCAGGAAGCTAAAACAAAGTTAAAACTATCATGGCAACCGGAAGCGAGGTTTCATCGCCAAAATTTAAAACAAAATTGTCGCTAATCGAAGGGGTGCCCAATTCTACACTGGAGCCGCATAATTTTCGAACCACTCGATCTTGGTATTGCATTTTCAGTGCCGGGCAGTAAAATTGGAAACACATTGTAGTAGCAATTAGGAGCTCCAGAATTCGATTCCAAATGAGGGCACTGCTGAATTTATATATTTCATTTTCCGAAATAAACCTAATGTCTTTTTACAATTAAAAGTTCCTGTTCGCGGAATGAAAGTTATTGGAATAGTTCTCAGTAGTGAAATGCAGAAAATGCAATGGAAATTAAGAAAAAAGTTAGGAACGAAATAAAAGCTTCCATCAAAAGGTTACCAAGTATTAGGAAGGGAGATTAATTAGAAAATTATTTCAGTAACTCCTAATAATAATAGTACAACTCATCTTTTCAACTGTGAGCTAATTTTCTACATTAATATTGGTAATGAACTTACTAGAACTTTCTGCTCTCTTGAATGTTGATGTCTCCTTTCAGTGTTAAGTCCAGATTTACTTCTGCTGATTCGTAAGTTATCTGTCCAGGAACCAGCTCAAAATATACAATGACTTGGTACTGAAACACTGAAGAAAGAAACTTTCATGTGTAGAGAAATAAATTGTTGCAGAAAACTTTTAATTATTTTTCAAAAATGTTAGATTTCTGTACTAAAATTTCAGTTCTTGTATAATATAGGAAATACAAACTTAGGATAACATAAAAATTGTAAGAACAGCATATGCTAAAAAAACTAAACGTTAAATGTAACTAACAAAAATTTTCAGAGTCATGTATCTAAGGTTAAATATAACCTTTTTTCTCAGCTACGGAGTTAAAATAGAGGGAAAATACGGAGTTAAAATAGATGGATAAAGAACGCTTCCTAGCATTCTAATTCGCTAATGGGAGAAGTTTCTTGAATTTTGGTCTGTAGAGAATTTTTTTTTTTTTTATTTATTTATTATTATTATTAGCAGTAAATCGTAATAGAGGATTCACGAGTTTGTTAAAGTAGCTAAACATTTGTTTCTTAGCTGGTTCCCTTTCACAATTTGTTAGAGATTCTTTTTGGTTAACTCATTCTCACACTTATATCTATTGTTCTCATGTAACGCATGTTTCATTTTCATTCTTCGCTTCCGCGGTGCTGAAGAAAAAGGCTTTATTTAACCTTCAAAACTATGCCCTTGTAAATTTATTCACCTTATTCCGATTTCTATTTCTCACCATATGCTGCTTTTAGCATAAAAATAGTTTTCGTATTTTTTGGTCAAAAATATTAAAAGAAAATATGAATGCAGCATTCATGTTTATAGAGAAAGGAAGCCATCTTAGCATACTGAATACAAAATAATTTTGAATGATTATGCAAAAGTTAAATGTATTAAAATTTAAAACTTTTTGTAGAAGAGATGTATTTCACATAAAATACTCATCACATAAAATACTCATAAATAATATACTTTAATATGTAAGTAAAAATTTTCTTTTGAAATTTAATAAAGTATCTGAAGTCACTCGCGCCACAGTCAAGGTTAAAGGAACTTCTGCTCTTAGTCCCGTGTGTTGAAGGAACGCATTTTAGTAGCCCAGTCTACTTAGAGATGTTGAAAATTTCCAGCCCGATAGTGAAATTGAAATTTCTGTCAAAGTTGGCTTTGATTTGAAAACGTCTGCATAGTGTTGAATGAACGCATTTTAGTTGCGCCATCTATTAGAGATACTGATAACTTCCAGGCCGATAGTGAAAGTGAAGATTCAATCACAGTTGGCTTTAATTTGGAAACGTTTGCATAGTGGCGAAAGAAAAAGTAATTTCAAAAGGTCATCCTTTTCAGAAAATTGTAAATTATGGATATATTTGTGTTTTCCCTACACTTCGAGTAAAAGTCTAATATGGTAAAGTGAAAAAATGCTCAATGCTTATTTGAAACTCATGAAATTAACTTACAACAATAATAAGGTCTTTCATATCCAATCTGCAGATAGTATCTTGATTTTTGTGGAGCTGGAGTACTGAACTGGCCCATGAAACGACATCTCTCACCATTCTTTCCACAATTACATTCTCCTTTCAGAAATGCTTCATAACTGAGACATTCCACTCCGACCATCAGACATCCATTCTGGCCAAATGAAAACAGCATGAGCTCTATAGACCTTCTATGTTGGCAACCGAATAGGTCATGTACAACTGTAAAAGACATATAATAAAAGTATTAAGGGAAAATGCACTTATAGTAGTTCAGGATTTTATCTCCTATACTGCAGGTTACTGTATTTCAAAGTTGAAGATTTGTAGCAATATTGCAACAAGCTAGTCAACCGCATCATACTGTCAGACGGATATGCTCATTTCATATGCTTATATTACATTCTAAAAATTTTCTTAGCGTTTCAGATATATTTCTTGCTGTTTTGCTAAGCTTACACAAATAAATAATCGCAGTATTCCCTGCATTAAGGAAACAGTCACTAATACTTCATTTGCTATGTAAGTCTCTGAAATACGGCAATTAATTTTTTTCTATGTTTCAATATTTCTTCGTCCGAATTTCCTTTTTTTTTTTTTTTTTTTTTTTCTTTTTATTAATGTGCTTTTTACTAACTTTGTGCATTGAATGGATATTATTTTAGCTCTCGTAATATTTAAAATATTTTTAAATTGTTATAGTACTCAACTAAGAATGATCTTTCCCTTTATATTAAAAATGGAATTTACTATCTCAGCTAGATATATCAAACATCGACGGAAGCAGAAAACTACGACGTTTATGTCCACCGCTTGGTCTTGCTAACAAAGTGAAGGATACTGAGATATGTTACTCCATGTAACACAAAACGAATAGGAAAATGAAGAAGCCTTTTTGTTTTCTAGAATGCGTCATGCATAATATAGGCTTAATCTTTATATTTAATTTTTAATTATAAGCATAAATATAAATTTTAATTGAGAGCTAGAGAAAAGATTTTATGTCACATCGGATGGAATCCCCGCTAAGAACACGCAATTCTGTAGCGTACCTTGGTGATAAATTGCATCTTCAAAATTAAGCAAATTTTCACATTTGGTCAGGAAGGCTATTTGGAATATAGTCCGTTTTATCAATTCTATAGATCTAACAACATGACTTCGTTTTTGAAATAAATCAGTTTCTCTTTCTAGATCCTGGAAGGCTGTGCGAGGGGTAAAGCAAGTTTCATGTGCTCTCCCAAGAAAACCCCGTGCGTGTTCTCTTATATTTAGAAATCTGGTTATCAAATCGACCTGGTTAATAAACTTGGTTTCCGAAAAACCATCTTTAAGATTAGCTGTATGTGTATGAGCGTTGTTATTCATAAATATTGTTACGCGTGTGCGGGTTCGTAATGTTTTGAACGGGCAAAGAAGTCATAAATGATTTATGAACGTTATTTTCCAAAAAACACTTCCCAGATCTAGAAATTTTCACACAAAATTATTTGTACAAGGTCTTCTCAGCTATACTACTCCTACGGCTCAGCAGTTATCGCTTCAGACTCTAAGAATGTTGAACAAAAGGCAATATAAAGATCTTATAAAAGCGAACCTCGCTCTAAGTGATCGCCCAGGGCCGGATCCACTTAGTGTTACTTAGGAATCGGACCAACTATCCACGGCGTTTAGCGATCTCTAGCTGAATTAGGCTACAAAAATAGTCACTGAAACCAGACCAAGACCAAGAAGACCTGCTCTTTACGTCCGCTTAGTTTTATGAAAAAAGAACCCGTTTAATACCGCATACAGAATATCGACCTTGACAATATGACAGCGAATATTTGATAGACCTAATTTTGGTCAGACGCATAAATCTTAAACAAAGGCTGTGTAATACTACGAGGTGTAGAAAAGAGATCTTACGGACCTATGGTCAGATTTTCAGGGTTGCAGTTCGCTATCAATTTATTTTTATAGACGGAAACGCTCTTTCATACAGTATTGATCTGGAGGATATTTCTCCGGGAGGTAAAGCTATTGTTACTAGGAAAATTGTTTGTCCAGTAAGATCTCTAAACCTAAACCATGTAGAATATATCTGGAACTTTCTTGGAATGGTAATTACAACTCTCCTTCCCCCTTTTAATGTTCCTGCGGTAATGGAATTGACTTCCGCAGGGACATAATAACTGCCTTATTTCAAGTGTGAAGTGTGAGTTTTGACGCTACTAGAGTTTAATGACTTTAGGGTCATATTCTCTGTTACCTTTCATTCGATCTTCTCTTTAAATTCGATCTTGCAATCTCAGTTTTGATAAGTCTTGGAACACGATTATGCGTGTGTTCCATAACTACTGTGTGACACATGCTTTTGTATTATATTGATCTACAGCTATACCAAATTTCATTAAAGTCTGCCCTTCAGTTCTGGAATAAATCAATCTATAAAAATTCTCTATTTGCATATGAGAGATGGAATTTGCCAAAATTGTGTAGTAGATTAATATCTCAGTAATCTGCTTAGTTTCTTAAGCTCAAAGTTTGAAGAAAGAAGTCAACCCTGAATCTGACTTTGAAGAATTGCAGAAGGAATTAATGGTTAAATGTTCCTCGATTTCGCCATTATCTTTAAAAAATAAGTCTTAAAATGCTAGATTTAGCACTTAATGATAGAAGCATTATATCCGTTAAATATGTATGGGTTTAGTCCATAGTACATCGAAAAATATCTTCGAATTCATTAAACTGTAAAAGCTCATGATAGTGGAATAAACAAAAAACTGTAGCGAGAGAGAACGAGATAGTGACATGCATGTCAACTCCGGCTCCCACGCTCTTACCTAAGTCACACTTCTCGATACAGTACTTATTAGTGGGATTAAAAAGAGCTCGGTGAATTAATGTATAGCATCGGAATGAGAGACTTGTCCTCACAATATTTAAAGACTAAACTTAATCTTACAGCTATATTCTGTACCCCTACTAGACATAAACCTTTCTGAACGTTTCTTTTTAAAACAAATTATATAAAAATACATACGAAGCGATTATTAGCCTGAGAAGTGAGATGCATTAGTGGAGAAGTTCCTGAGGAAAACTAGCTTGTTGCAAAAGTGTACACAAGGCAATAAGTTCAAAAAAGCCAAAGCAACGAGCTCATTTGTCTGACGAACGAATCTCAGACTAGCATAATTAGTGGTTTCATCCTCTCGGCCATTGATATTACAGGACAGTCTAATATTTCATACGTTTCGTCTCTGCTGCATCCGTAGTCCGAAACAAAATCTTGTTGTCATAATACCAGCTTGCCTGCAAATATAAACTTCAAAAAAATCACAATAACATATATCCTACATTTCGCTTTGATAACATAACTATTCGAATGCCACACTTAAAGGCTGCAAACTACTGATATATTAGTTATAACAATATATTTACTTATGCAGAATATGCATTTTATAAGAATTTATTGAAATTACAAACTTCTGACAATTATATTTCCTTGTTACCAATTTTAACTACAGCTTTGAAAATTCAGAAACAGAATGAAATACTAGTAGTCAAATATTTAATAGATATATGTGTATTTCATTACTGATTGTGTCAGAAAAGACACACTTACAGTCTGAGATACGAGAACCAGTGACAATATGTCTTAGCAAAGTGAGGGCGCAGCCCCTTGGTCTACCTCCGCCTGGCCAGAAATTGACATGCCCTACGTCTTTTGGATTTCCCAAACCTGCAAAAAAGGAATCCAAGTATTTCATAAAATTATAATTAACATTCATCTGAAAATTTCGTTCTAAGTGAAAAAAAAAATTAGAAAACTGCTACAAACTAAAATTTGTATATATAGAAACTTAAACAAGAGAATTATAACTCCCATCCCAGCAAAAATGAAAATCATAAACCTACTGTCATGAATTCATCAATACAAATACGTTTAATATTAATAAATGCAAATATACCATCGATAATTATTCTTCCCGGATTTGAATGAATTACATCAACAAGGAGTGCGTCTGAAGGGTCAAGGGCAGCAACACTGGGAAGATCAAGAAAACCGGGACCAGCAGGATCAAGAGCTTACAATATAAAATGAATAAATAAAAATTAATTAAAATACATTACAAATAACATAAATTTTACATTTCCCTTATTCCCTTATGCTATACAGGTTTTGATACAAAAAACACTAATATTAATTATTTAACTATCGGAAAATATAACATATGTACTAAAACATAAAAACGTTCAAAGCCAATCAAATTTAGAGATTAAACAAGTAAAATCTCACACTGTTTTTTGTAGAATAAATTATACTTACAAATTACGTAAAGGGTTTTTATAATTTTCATTCATATATAAAACCCTGTATTCAATATATACAGGTACACAGATAAATAAACAAATATTAGGATACGCTAAGAAGAAACTGAATTTAAATTAGTTATTAAAATCTCTTTTCGAAGTTAAAGTGTTTTTTTTTTCGGAGCTCTTTGCATAACATTTGCATAACAATTGTTGCACTATGTTACCTTTCCATCTCTTGAAAATCAAATCATAGTTGATTTTCATCTCACGTTATCCATTCAGACAGCCTGTTATTTCTTCTATTATTTTTGTCTGCTTTCAGCTTCATGCATAAATTTTAAAATTACTCTACATATGATCATATAGTGCTTACAACAGGAGGTTTACCTGTGATTCGTCCAAGTCTAGGTATCCTTTGGCCAATATAACCAGCTATTTGGGCTCCTAAACTGTGTCCAACAATATGAAACTTTTCCGCAGGGTATTTGTAAGATTTCTATGAAAGAAATTTCAAGTCATGAAAATATGGTAGCATATCAATCAGCTGTAAAAAATACGAACTTAACTATTTTAATATTTATACGAATATATATGACTGCCTTACTAAACACAAAAATGTTGAAATTAAAATTGATAATTCAATTTTATTGCCCAAAAATGCATTTTGAGACTTTTTATTCGAGAGTACTCTCCGAATATTCTTCTCCCAAAATCTATCCACCAATGTCAGATTTATCAATCATGGATCCTCATCCATACGTACTGTCAAGAATTTTATTTTGAATAAATAATATAATTTAGAACCAAAAAGAGATTTAAAAAAGTATTTAACAATTTTTCTATACTGTATTATGTAATTAATGCTAAAGGAAAACAATGAGATGAAATAAGGAAGGGAATGCCGATGATTAAAATAACCGGGAGTTCATAACCGGCATTCCAGGATCGCGGAGGTCAATAACCCCTATAACAAAGTAATGGCTACTAAGAGTCTTTGCGAGAACAAATTAGTTCTAGATTTGAGGTATTCAGGTGTGGAACATTATCAGAATTTTAATCTATGATGTAAGAATTCAAGCTTAGGGCAGAACAATGATATTAAAACAGCTTTGGCCAGTGTAGCACAAGAACCTCCCACGAATACTATTAAGGACAAAAGACATGAAAAATAGATTCGCTGGGAAGGCTCCGCAACCGGCACTGAACAGCATCGAACAGTGTCCTCAAAGACAAATGATTCATCAATTCTATTGTCGCAGCCGTTACAAACAGTTGTCAAAACAGAAGATTATTTAGTAATATAAGGATCAAAAAACATGAAAAAACTATATGCATTAAGAGACAAAAGTAATTGCTGTTTTCTCTGCAAGCTTATTTACAAGAGTTCTGAAAATCTGCGAGGATTTACGCCGCTAATCGTAAGTGTATTCGAGTTTCTGATGAGCTGTTTTCTTATTCTCATTAAAATTATTTGGAAGAGATAACTGATGTCTCACGAATACTAGAAATCTTTCCGGTAAAACATACAGCAAGCTCTAAAATCAACATTAAATAACAGTTCACCATATCAAATACCAGCGTAAGTATATAACCAATAAATGAGTATGGAAATAAAATTTAAAAAGAACGACGGCGTTGATTTCAATATAAGGGGAAACAACAGTGGATAAAGAAGTTACTGAATGCAAGTTATGAAGGTAAAGCAGGCAATCGTTTAATATCTTGCCAATACTGTTTCGACTTAAACACCGCTAAAGTTATTTGAAGAAGATTATAAAGCTTTTCTTCATTTTATTCCACTTACCTGAAGAATTTGAGCCTCGGGAAGCACATCCCGCAAGCACATAACAAATAAAACAGGCTCATTATTTAGGAAAGACTGTTAGTTAAAATTAAATTTTTATTTTAATGGGAGCAAACATTAAAGATCGTATCATATGTGTAGTAGCTATGGGAAAAACTTATTTGATCTCTTGAACTGAACGACAAACGTGAGTTATAAGGAACACATGACTACAATGTGTTGAAACAAGCGGAAACACTTTCAAATTTGTAAACGCCTTATGGGCTTTCTGGAAGTCAAACATTATGTTGGAAGTGGATATCAGTTTCGCAGATTTAGAACTCAATGATGATGTTAAATTATCTGTTCGCATAATATGTATATATTTTTAATAATATCCGGCTGGCTCTTTATTTAATAGTCATTAACTTTTACTTAATAGTTTCTTTATTTAATAGTCATTAACCTTGCGCCACTACAAGAGCCAAAAATGGTGGCCATTTCATTATGGAAGCACCTAATAGGTGGGACGGACAGTTACAACCATGCTTTCTCCGGTATTCGAACCCGAGTTCATAGCTGCGACAGTCAGGTTCATTAGCCACTATAATGGCTAGGTGACTTAATCGCATAATATTAAATCATATATTCGGAGTCGTAAAAGGTATCTGTAGTGTTTTCTCTTGACCAGTAAACAGAAGGGAAAATCCTTTTCTGTGGTTTAAATTATTAATGCTAGGCCGTTCTCCATCACAAGATGGAAAACTAGATTTGAATCTGGGAACATACCTAGATTACAGTTAGACGCTGCTCTAGAAACTCTATTTAAGCTTTCAGAACATAATTTTAAACATGATGTAACGAAAAGGAGCTATTAACCTTATAAGGTATTTCTCCTACCTTCTTCACATGCCTTTGAGCTGTGTTGGTCTGCACGCTGGGCGCATATTCCAGAGGTCAAAAGTCTACGGAGCTTAGCTACTTAAATGACAGACTTTTGAGTTTACGGAGCTACCGTGACTAGCACTTGGGAGCTAGTAGATACGTTAGCTGTTGAACTCGTATTCAAAACCGTTAGAATTCAACATAAGAAAATAATATCGAATAATGTACATTCTGGCGAAGCTCCCACAAATAGAAAAAAGTCTGATGTGGACACCACATGACTTGTTTTGCCTTTTAAATTATACACATTTTTTTCTACATTTCATTTAAACTTATTTCCTCGAATTTCATATATTTCTCATTCACCTAATTCAGTTCTCACTTTGTGGCAAAGCAAAAGTCTGTAAAACCTCTTAGCATCTTTATTAAAAATTGTAAAATACAGAAAATCGTAAAACATCAAATACATTTCAAGCAGTTTAAAAAAATTTGCAATTAAAATTAGAGTTTCTACGCAAAAACAAACAATTCGGCCAACGCGCGAGAAAGCAGAATGTTTCGGTACACAAAACTAAAAATTTACTTTTGTAGATGAGGATTCCAGGAGAATTTCTTCTCGATTGCTAACCCAAGTTACTTGATTCTAGTCACAGACTTGATCTTTTGAATATTAATTTTAGAGCTAATGCTTAGTTATATTTTGTCCTGAATTATGGATTACTAGGACTTGAGATTTACTATGTGAGATTTGCAGTTTTTGAATTAAGCAAAATTGGCTAAATATCTGAAGTGTTTTATTACAGTTATCCTGTAAAATGTCTCTGGTACGACCGGTTGCAATAAAAACAATATCGCCTGGAAAAGCAACAGCTTTTGAGTGGTTTTGACACTGATAGGCAGTAATATTGTTGAAACTGATCTTCCAGAGATCTGCACTCACGCAAGATCCCTAGGGACATCTGCTGACTTGATTACGCACAGCTTCAGTGCTATTGTAAAGAATCATACGTTTCCTGTTTCTGAAATAATATGAATAATTAGAAATAAGTTTTAAGGACGCTTAAAGGAACGCAGAGATTTTAAAACTATTCGCCACCATAAACAATCGAAAATTAATTTTAAGTCAAGGCATATTATTGCAGAATGAAATTAGTTGATTTTATTGTTTCTGTCTTGTTGAAGAGCTCAATAAATTTCATTATTTGTTGAAAATAAGCTTCGAAATCCAAACTGCTTATTACTCATTAAGTGTTTGCTGTAAATATGAAATTTTAGGCAGGAGGTTTCAAACGTCAGCTCAGGGATCAGACATCCGAAATAAGACAACTGCAGGCTACCGACGGACTGACCGAATACCGAGTTAACGGCTTACATCCCTATCTCAAAATCTGTATAATCTCTGAAGGGAACAAGTTCGTGACTAAGTTTGAAGTGATAGAACCATATGAAAATAGTCACATACACTTCATGGCTATCAGGTGGTTTTAGCGATACTCCCCTTTGAGATGGTAAAGAAAATTAAACATTTAGGTATTTTACTGAACAGCAAATTTAATTGGGAAACGAATATTACCTACATTTCTAATTAATATCAGAGACTTAATTGAATCGAACTGTATGTAATAATTTTCGCGTTAAATTGATTATTACTGCAGTTAACAAGGTATTGTTTCGTTCATTTCATATGGCTGTAGAGTTTGGTGATTATCTCTGAAAAAGAGGATTAACTCCAATACTTTATTTCGAGTTCGGAGGCGAAATCTGCTGAGGGGGTTACCGAACTATTAGTCAGAATACTGCCTTCTCTCTTGCCGGATTTCCACCGCTGGGTATATTTATTCTGCAATATATAGGTTACAAGGACTGCCTTTTCAATTACTCCAGTTCTCATTTTTGATAGTTTATTGCCCTTGTCTGCTATTCTTTATGCAGCTCTAAAACGACCAGTAAAAATTTAGTAAAATAGTCAATCAGTAAAACAGTATGGATACTGATGAAATATCATTCTCAAGTGTGTGCTATACGAACAGTAGTAAAATTGTATTAAACAATAGTAGTTTCGCTTCTTTAGATGAAGATGGTGTTCAGATTGAGTACCACCAGTTTGTATTAGAAATAAATGAACTTTTTTATAATTCTGAACTTCTCTGTATTAGTTTTACGGTTAAGTGGATATTAGCCAGGATAGACATTTACCTTTCTAGGTTCTTAATTTGCACGGATTCTCTCTCTTCCCTGGAGTCCCTAAAAATTATCTGATCATGTAATGATATTTTTATTAATATACAGCAGTCTCTCGGGGACTCACTGGAGGTGGGTATTTCAGTGATTTTAACATTTCTTAGTGGACACTCTGGGATACATGGAAACGAGACAGCTGATCAGCTGATTGTCTTACTAATCAGGCAACTAGAAAAAACATTATAATGATGCAAATATTACAAAACCGTTCTTTAAAAAAGGATTCAAAGTTAAAATCATTTAACAATGGAATTATGATTATATCATTTATGATAATGGGCATACTGCAAAAACGATCTTTCCGACTATCTTTGAAAGACTCTAAAATATGGACTTATTGCTCAACTTTACGCAATTTTTGTCACGGCATGAAAAGTTTATTGTTTAACTTGAACGGTTTAAGCTGCATTCTTCAATTTGTGTTATTGTGATCTCTCAAAGTGTGTTCAGCAAAGTCCACTTAATTTGTGATTGCCCTTTGCTTAATCATGCAAGAAATTCATTAAAATGTATACTGAATTCCATTGGAGTTAATTGGCCACCGAAATATCATCTTGCTTTAAATGACTTTGCTGACTTTTATTTTA